CATTTTATATTGTTTTGGCGTTGGTGTTTTGGTGTTGGTGTTTTGGTGTTGATGGATTTAGGTGAGAATACCTTGAATCCCTTCTGAGTTTGTCAGGTGGGCATTCTCGTGGCAAATAATGAGGGATAAATTACCCTAGGGAGCAAGACCCAAGAACAGTTAGAGCTCTAGTCTGGCGCCATCTAGTACTCATGACTGGTGTGTAATCATGAGTGAACACTACTATGGTGTTTTGTAGTGTTATAGATTAGAGGTTCATAGTATTCTCTCTTCTATCTGTCAAACAATTGACGTGTGAAAACTACTTTGAAATAAAGAGTTTTGGTGTGGTCACAGGTGGTGATCGAAACAGTTCTTTAAATAAAATAAAAGAATTGTGATTGTGATGATATTGATGATTATGATTACCTTGGTTATACAAGGATTGTGGTGTGCTAATGAAAGTGCATGTGTTTGTATATTATGTGAAATTGACATATTATACTGTGGACGTGGTTTACTCATACGAGCTTTAGAAAGCTTACCGGGTTGTTCTGTGGTGAACCCGGTGCACTATTCAATGGTGTAGGGGAAAATCCTGCAGGTGGTAGAGACGGTGAGCAGGAGAATTAAGGTGAGGAGCAGGAGGCTCATTGGTGGATCCACAGACTGTAAAGTGTGGTGTGAGAGTGTTGGTGAGTGTTAGACTTCCGCTGTGTGAAATAAGCTCTGAGGAGCATATTATGTAAAATGATGATTGTTCATTTATGTTGTGAGTTTGTAATGTAATATTTGACTCAGAAGAGTTGAGTCATTATTGACATTGTGGTTCGGAACAGTGGTGTTGTATCAAGAAAGAAAAGTTTAAATTTCTAGGTACTTTTGTTGAAGGTTCCGAGCTTCGCGTCCCGGATTGTTGGTTGTTCTGTTTAAATTCGCAGATTAATTGTTGTGGGAAATTCGGGGCGTGACAGATTCGATCGAGCCTTGGAATCGAGAAATGAGAAGGAAAGAGGAGAAGAAAGAAAAGAAAGAAAGAATTAGAAGGAGGAAGAAGATCGCAACGAATGGGGGAGAAGGAAACTGAAAATGGGAATTAAAACTTCAAAACACTGTTCGGTACAGTATGGCACCAAAAGAGATCAGAAATGTGGAATCGATGCCATGTCAAGTAGTAACGGGAAGACACGGTATCATCCTATTTACACTTCAATACCAAACGTGACGACATGAGATTGGCATGGTTTGGCATGGTTTCGGTTTGGTTTCCTTATTCCGGTTTTGATGCCCAACCCTACAGATTGGGTTGGGTCGGTTTTGATCCTAACTTGTAACTCAATTCATACATAATGATTTATAATTTTTTAGGTTAATGACCCGTTTATTATTAGGTCAACCTAACCCCACCAACCCTACATAACTCAATCATTTTTGGATTCAAGACCCACTTCTTAAAAAACAAAAAAGGACACATGTCACTTTGTAGTTGAGTCACAATAAAAGGTAAGGAGGAGTTCTTCCTTACAGGCAAGGAGGGAAGTATTGTTCATGTTTTATTATCATTCTTAGAAGACTAACATATCTGAAACAAAAGCTCGTCAAATGAGGGAGAAAAAAAAGAGATTTTGATTTTTAGTTAGGAAGCATAATGAAAAGCCATCAGATTACATCGTGGCCATAGTTCCATAGAAATAAAATGGGATCTTTGAGAGGGTTTTGATTTCGGAGGAAGGAGTTATTCTTTTCTTTTTCTTTTTCTTTTTTCCAATTAGTTGATGAAGTGTTAGTTCTCTAACCCTTGTATTGTATTTTATTGATGTGGCAATCTTATATTAAATGTCAAGGAGATTCTAGCAGAGAAAATTTAGCAGATGATTCAGATCCTCGAGTCGCCCTAAGTTTTATATTGATGGAATTTTTAAAATCTCACATACGCGGGATAAAGTGGAGCACCCATGTATATCGCCGAAATCTCGATAATATTGGTGATAAATTTACCAAAATCAGTGCTTAAGTTAGTTGTAATGTTAGCTTGATAAAATCGCCGAAAGAAACAGAAAATATCGCCAAAAAAGTCGGTAAAATTACGATAAATTAAAGAAACTTGCCAAAATATCTTAGTATGACAAAAAGTCTATAATATTACAATAAATTAAGGAAACTTGCCAAAATATTTTAGTATGACAAAAAAATAGTGTCGCCAAAATGGTCAAATGATGTGATGTCCTGATACAAGCTTTCATCTCCATCAAAGATTCGTAGCTCAACCACACAGACAAGCTAGATTTTGTCACTAACACACACAACAATCAGAATTGCAAAAGGATCCCAAACTACATTCCAGTATCTCGGAATATTCAAAAGTCAGGGAAACATTTCTTTCAATAAGAAAGCCATCTGTGCCAATATGCAGCATTTCAGAAAATAACCAGTTACTTGGCAGAGTCATATTTCACTCCACCAATATTGAAAGGGTAATGTTAGACTTACCATATTTTTATATCAGATTGTGTACCTCCTCTCTAATAGAAATGGAGCCCACCAATATAACGGGGCCCACTTCTATTAGTGATGTGGTACACAATGTGGTATAAAAATGTGATAACCTAGCATTTTTCATATCGAAAACTCCATCAACAAAGCCCACTTTTACTCCACCGTTTGTATCAGTGCTTACTAGTACTTCACAAGGCACAAACTAAATTTTAACTTAGGTTAGGTACGTGAAATTTGCATAGGCATAAAAAAGAAAAATATAACAACAATGTCCAGGGTCTCACCTGAATAGCAAGTTCCGGTGTTGGGCAAATGACAACAACGCCCGTTCCCTCACGAGGAGTAAACTCCAGCTGGTATTAGAAAAACAAGAGTTTTCCCGCATCCTGTCCTTGCAGCTCCGATGACATCATTTCTGTTCAATAGTGGTGGGATTGCTTTGTCTTGAATCTGCAGTTGTAACAATTTGTAAATTGTAATAAGCCAAAATCATCCGCAACTTTACAAACATAATATGTAAAAGATATCTCAACGAACAGACACATTTCTTATCAAGGGGAATCCCCAACTTACAAACATTAGCTATTGTGAAGAAAATACTTCAGTTGGACTTTCTAATTAGTTTCATCTCAACATCACAAACAACGTAGTCATTATGTACTTTTCAACTTCTAATTTGAATGCACTATATGAATTATTAAGCTCAAAAAAAAAAAAAAAAAAAGACCCTTCAAAAACTAGAAGGGAAAAGAGAAAAAAGAGAGCAGAGCAGTGGCGTGAGTGAGTTCTTCACCTTGTGGTCTGCCGCAAGAATATAGAGATAGCCTCTTCCAGTTTGAAGGCAAGACAATAATTCAACGCAAGAATCAATTCAAGTTGAACGCATGACCTTCATATTATTAGATGATTACATCTTCTCCTTCGCAAACTTTTGCTTTGCTTCACCTAGTGAGTGAATGTTGAACAAACAGTCGACACCTTCTTGCGCCTCCGATAGTGCCCGCTGCGTTGTTTGTTGTATGCATTGAGCAATATAAAAACTTCTCTACGTTTGATTAGGGTTGAATATGGTGAGTAGGCACCCAAGGTCAGGGCAAACTCCAGACCTTTTCGAATTTACCAAAGAATTTATAGATTACCCACCAAACACGGAACTGCTGGCAGTAGGGTGTACTCAGTTAATTTTAAGGTTCGTTTAGCATCACTCAATTGAAATATGCGAATTATTCACGATATATATCAGTTGCTTAATAACTTTAATAAAGTTTTGATACAACATGTCTATCTTCAACATGTCTATCGTGAATCAAATCAAGTAGCAGATATTACGATTAAACGCAACCATACTTCTTCACATATGTGTGTTTGGTTTGGAAATTTTCCAACAGATATTTTACATAGGTTTTTTTTTTTTGGTCAATGATATTTTACACAAGTTACATTGTGATTTATATGGTGTCACGCACGATCCCTCCTTTATAATGTTTTGTTTCTTTTGACTAAAAAATAAATAAAATTCCCTCTGTTTGAAAAGTGCTGCTTTATGGTCAAAATTCGTCAAAGTAAATTCAGAAGACACGTGGCTGAAATCTGCAGACTCTCATCAATCTCCAAAACCTTCTGTTTCCTTGGTCTCTTCCTTCTCTGACAAGTCTCCACTCCTTTCCCCTAGGCTTTCGTGAAGCATTTTATCTCAAAATATAGTAAAAAATTAATTCTAGTTATAATTATTAACTCTGCGTCCTTCACACAGGTCACCGATCAATCATGGATGATCGTACTGACCCAGACGACCTCGACACCATTCTCTCCGAACAACGCAGAGACCTTATGGCCGCCAAAACTCTAGACTCCGACCTCGACATGGCCTTCAAGCTCCAAATGCAGGAGGCCATGGCCGCCTCTCTCGCTCTCAATCCCTCGTTGGCCTCGAGTTCGAGTTCGCGCAACTCTCCGCCTCCTTCGCCGCCCCACGACGCCTTGAACGACGCCATTTTAGACCTCGCCGCCACGCTCATGCTCGAGGACGTCGAGCGATTCGCGCAGGAGTGGGAGGACCACGAGCGCACCGTTTCGGAGATGATGAAGACAAAGGAAGATATCAACCGTCGAATTCACGATCAGAAGTTCGCCGCCGACCTCCGCGACGTGCCCGAGGACTACTGGGACAAGCACGGCGACTATTACGAGCGTCCGTACTGTGCGGACGAATCGTCTTCGTCATCGTCGACGAAAGCTGCAGCGGTGGAGACTGAGAATTTGAGGTTGTATTGCAAAGGTTTGGTGAGCGAGGAGAGGGTTAGGGATATGAAGGTGGTGGTGGCTGGGGCTGGTATCGCGATTTGTGACCCGAGAGACAATCTGATATTCGAGGCGAGGAAGAATCTGGAGGCGGTGGTTGATGGTGTGGTGCTGAGCAATGAGGCTTCGGAGCTTGAAGCCATCATTGAAGGGCTTAACAAAGCTCTCACCTTGGACTTGAAATTTGTGACCTTTTACTGTGATGACTACATGCTTTACCAATATGTGAGTTTTAGCATTAAACACTCGCTTTTATCGGTCTTCTTTTATTCTCAAATTCACTTTTTAATTGGGTGGGAGTTTGTGTTTATGTTAATGGTAGTAGAGTTGACTGTTGACTGGTGTGCATTGTTTGTTGCATTGCAAATTTGAAATCTTTGGCTGTATGAACTATTGGGTATCTTCTGAAACAGAGGAAAAGAAAAAGATTGTGCATTTGACCATTTTGGAAGTGGAATAGAAATTTTGGGGCTTACTATATGTGGGTTTGTTTGGGAGAACATTATCAGAGATTGAGCAAGAAGATTGTGGGCAACTATGAGAAGTGTGAAAGCCAATTACTAAACATCAATATGAGTGAGTTGCTGTATTGGTTTTTGGTTTAGTGTTTGGGTTGGGTTAATTGGTTGAAGTGCAATCTAACAAGTGTATGTCATGTCATTTGTGACAGTGTTTTGGAGCATGTTAATTTAGCTTTGTGCAGAAGCTGCAAGGAATAATCCCAATCAACTTGGTATTTGGGAGAATTAACAGTTATCTTGTTAGACCTATCCTTCTTTCAGTCTGTTGTGTTTAACATTTGCTGAGCTTGCTGCATTTGTGTGACAAAGCCAATTACTGGTATTAATGTGTTAGAGTTTCAAATTTCGGGTTCAGCAATGATTCGGTCATGCAGTTATACTATTTTGTTGCTGTTAGAAATTTGTTAATTATTTTTTGGTGATGTGTTCTGTCAAACTTTGTTGGTTGTATTACAAGATAAATATGTTTTTTTTTTTCTATTTCCGAAGGATTCAAACTGTATCCAGAAAACTGAAGTTCTGTTATTTTTCATTTATTTTCCTCCTTATTGATAGTATAATTGATGTCTTTACAAGTTTGCTGCTCTCATCACTATTCATGTTTATAA